GTGGACCCAATTTCCTATCTTCGCGCGCCCCCTGCCCATGAGCTTCTCGCGAGTCTCGCGCGGCGCGAACTTGGCGATGAGGTAGTCGAGCATCGCGCGCTCGCCACCGGTGCCGGCGCGCATCGCCGTCGCGAGGTTGGACACGTCGTCCTGCGTCAGCTCGATGCCCATGCGCTGTCGCAGCGCGAGGAGCTCATAGAAGGTGCCCACCTGCGCTGAGACGTCGGCGTCGTTGGCGCCCGCCATGTTTGGCAGCAGCGCGACGCGCCACGAGCCAGCGCTCTGGACGGGGAGGCTGATCACGTTGAGACGCTCGCGGATGAAGTCATAGACCCTAACCCAGGTGCCGTGGTGGGCCCGCAGAGACGCCAGGAGAGCGGCCCGACCCTCATCTGCGACGGAAAAGTTGTAGATCTGGAAAAACTCGGGCACGTACACGCCCTCACCAAACTTGCTCCGCAACGAGAGCAGCACCAGCTGCTTCCATTTGCAGAACTCGAGAGCCACGTCCGAGAGCAAGGCGCCGTGTTGCATCTGCACGAACGAGCCCGCAAACGCGAGCCCCGTGATGTCTGCCGGGTGCTGTCCAGCGCTTCGGGCGTAGTTGCCCTGCGTGAACATCCCATCATGGAAGCACCTTCGAAGCGTGACGGCCTCCTCGTCGTCGAGCTCGGCGGAGACGAGGGTCGCCTCGCGCTTGAACCACTCGAGCTGGTGTGGGAGCGGTGTAGCACTCGTCGAGCGTAACAGCTGTCCGCCCTTGGACGACTTGTTGAGCGCACCGTGAGGCACACGGCAGCCGTCGGGGAGCGCGATCTCGGTCAGCTTGTTCCGTGGGCACGGTGCGAGGAACGACATCGTGTGGCAACGACGGAGCTGTGCCTCGAAGCGCGCGCCAAGGGAGAGAGAAACGACAAATCACCCACCCACCCACCCACCCACCCACCCACCCACCCACCCACCCACCACCCACCCACCCACCACCCACCATCCGGGGCCTACGAAGCGTTTACCCACCCACCCACTTTTTCAAGAACGGCGGTCCAGAGGCACGTGGTGTGAGAAAAAACGCAACGCTGCACCGACAGACACGATGACAGACAGCGTCGGCTTCATCGGCCTCGGCATCATGGGCGAGGGGTGCCGACCGCCCACCGCGCCTCGGGCTCCTGCCGCCTCCCGGCCGCTCGCCTCACGCGCCACCGCCTTGGGCCTCGCAGGATGGCAAAGTGCCTCCTCAAGTCGGGCCGCAAGCTGGTCGTGTGGAACCGCTCCGCCGGCAAGTGTGCCGCTCTGTCGGCGGACCACCCGGGCGCGGTGACGGCGGTCGACAGCCCTTCGGCCGTCCTCGCCGCCTGCGACCTGGTCTACTGCATGCTCTCCACGCCAGACGCGGTCAAGGCCGTGTACGAGATGGAAGGCGGCGTGCTCGCGGGCGTGCGCGCCGGCACCAAGCTGGTGGACTGCGCGACGCTCGCCGCGGAGGACATGGTGCGGCTGGAGAAGCAGGTGACGGAGCGCGGCGGCCGCTTCCTCGAGGCGCCGGTCTCCGGCTCCAAAGGGCCCGCCGCGTCCGGGCAGCTCATCTTTCTGACGGCGGGCGACGAGCCGCTCTTCGAGGAGATCAAGGGCACCGACCTCGAGGCGATGGGCAAGGCCTCCTTCTTCTTCGGCGCGCCGGGCAAGGGCGCGCGCATGAAGCTGGTCGTCAACATGGTGATGGGCACCATGATGGCCTCGCTCGGCGAGGGGCTCGCGCTGTGCGGCGCGGCGGGCATGGACTGCGAGCAGCTGCTAAAGGTGCTCGACCTAGGCGTGATGTCCAACGGCATGTTCCGGCTCAAGGGGCCGAAGATGGTCCAGTCGGACCACGCGCCAAACTTCCCGTTGCAGCACGCGCAAAAGGACATGCGGCTCGCCGGCGAGCTGGGCGCGCAGCTCGGGCTCGGGCTGCCGGTGGCGGCGGCGACCAACGCCGCGATGCTGGCGGCGCGCGAGCAGGGGCTCTCCGACGAGGACTTCTCGTCCGTCTACGAGGCGCAGAAGAAGACCAAGCCCTGACGCAACGGCTCCGAGACGCGGGCTCTGGCGCGCGGCGCGCGAGAGAGCGCCGCGCGGTCCCGAGCCGCGGCTCCCGCTGCGCGCCACTGTCGAGCGACGCAGGTTGGCGGCCGAGCGCAGCACGCCCCGGAGGCGGGCGGGCGGCAGCCGCTCCGTCGAGCGTTGTTTCCCGTATTCAATCATATTCCGCTGGTTATTGGTTGGTGTTTTGCGTCCTTGAGCTCAAAAGGATGATCAGCCAAGTCATTTTCTTCTTTTCTGGTTTTGAATTCTTTTCGCGAGCCCCGAGAAGGAACCGGCTGGCTTGCAGCCAGCCAGACCCTGCTTGGCACGGCATGACAGTCGTCCCCGAGTACCTCGAGGAGACGGACGCCCTCTCGTGGGCCTCGTTCTGGGTTGGATCAGTGGGCGCAGCGATGATGATGGCCGGCTACTTCTCTCTGCTGCGTGGCTTTCTGACCGAGCGCAGCCCCTACTACCACGCGCTGAACGCAGGCGGTGGCGTGCTCGCTGCGACCGGCGCGCTGCTGGAAGCGCTGATGGGTTCCCTCGGCGCCTATCCTCTGGTGGTGCTCGAAGGTGTCTGGGGGCTGCTCGGGCTGATCGAGCTGGTGAAGGCAGCGCGAGCCTCGTCACAAGGAGTGCCTCGTGCCTCACATTCGCTATCGAGAGGGAGCGTAGGAAAGCCCCTTCCAGGACCGCAGCACGAGGCTTTGTGCGGCGCAGCCGCTGTTGTTTAGTACGCGCACCGAGGTTCCGGGCGACGAGAGCCACCCCGCGCATTTTGTTGAGTCTTGAGACCTGTGGTGTGACGTGGATAAATAAAACGAAGACGTCTACTAGGAGATGGGGTGTGTGACGTGGATGTCTCTTACGTGTCTTGAAATAATTAGGGAATAAAGCCATCTGTGTAGACGCGCACAGGGCCGCGCGGGGAAGGCACGTAATCCTTACGACACCGTCGGTGAGCCCGCTGAAGCTGCGCTGAAGAAGCCCGGCCCACACAAGACACTGGCCGCCCCTCTGACTCAGAAGCGCTCAGACTATGTCGTACGCGAGAGCTAAAGCTCTCGGTCTGGGCGAGCTCCGCCGCCGCGCGACCTCTGAAGCTGCCACCCCAAGGCGCCTAGCCCAGAATGAATCGCTCGACGGCGTCGAAGCACGGCCCCGGCGCCTGCTTATAGACCCAGTGCCCCGCGCCCTTGACGCTGACGACGGAGCAGCCCTCCGTCAGCCGCAAGGCGTCGAGCGCCGCCTCGGTGTGCCTGGGACAGGCGAGGAGGATGGGTGAGCGCCGCCTCGCCGCCGCGCTGCTGGGCTCGACTGCTCGGCTGCCAGTGCGCGTTCTTGTCCTCGCCGAAGACGTAGAGGATTGGCTGCCGCTTCAGCGCCGAAGCGAGGCTGACGTTGGCGAGCGCGCGTCTCCGGCCCTCCCGGTCGGCGAGGAGGGTGAGGGCGTGGAAGTAGGGGTAGCAGCGGTAGGGCGTGACGGCCTTGGAGGCAGTCGCCTCCCCGTTTGGCTCCTGCCAAGGGCGGAGCCCTGTGGGCCCAAACGCACGCCCGCCCCAATCGAGAGGCCCGAGCGGCGAGAGGAAGGGGCAGAGCCAGGCGACGAAAAAGACGGTATAGAGGCAAAGCCAACCGACCGGCGCACAGCGGCGCCAAAGGAAGAAGCATGCGCCGAGGCTGGCCCAATAGAGCAGGTGGATCGCCTCGTGCCTCAGGCTCTCTGGCCGGCAGAGAGAGACGGTGCCGTCCGACGCGCTGTGCATGAGGTCCGTCGCGTGGATCACCTACACGCGGGGAACTGGGTCGCGGTGCGGGACGACGGAGCGTGCGCTCGGCGCTTTGCAGCGCGGCCGCACGTCAAACAGCACGAGCTTATCGCAGCCAAAGTTGTTCGCGAACGCCAGCCCCGGGTAAATGGCCCAGTCATGCACAACAACGGAGAGGGTGGTTGTATCTGACGCGGCCCTGCTGCTCCGGCCAGCGTACAGCGCGCTGCGCCGCGTGCTCTGCGCACGAAGGGCCGCCGCCGCCTGCGCAAAGGCCTGCGGGATCTCGTCGAGCGTGTAGCCCTGCGGCCGCAGCAGCGGCCCCTCGCGTTCAAACTCGGGCATCGAGCACACTCCGACGAGGCAGCCGCGCTCCGCGAGCCGCCGTGCGAGCGGCGCAAGCGAGGAGTGGTCGTCCGGGAACCCGGCGCAGAGCAAGACCAGATGGTCAGCGCCAGTCGGCCCGGCGACGAAGAGAGTGCCCGCGCCCTCCAGATCAAGAAGGTCGTGCGGGACCGCCTTGAAGAAGAGGTTCAGCAGCGCGGTCGCGCGCCGCGAGGAGGGTGACGAGGAGGGAGAAGACATAGTCGACGCGAGGTCGCGACCGACAGGCGACAGCGAAAAAGAAAAATCACACCAGATCTCAGCGATCCCTGTGTGGTGGCGGCGTGCCGTTCTCCCATCCCTCCCTTGGGTTGTGTGTTTTCTTTCTTTCTTTTGGGAAGAGGACCGCCGCAAGCGGCGTGGCGTGGAGCGGTTGTGCATCCCTCCGGGGGCCCCTCTGCGCCGGGGAGGCGTTGTTGGAGGCTAGGACGCAAGCGTCCGTCGCCCTTTTCAAACTCGGGGCCCACTCCGCTACGCTCCGACCCGAATTTGGAGGGCCTATAAGTTTAAGGTGTTGCTGCGCAAAAGGGGTCGGACACAGGGCGCAGCTCATGCTAAGAGCTAGAAGAGGAGATAGAGAGACAACCACACCAACACCACAAAGCTCTCTCTCCTGCTCCTCACTCATGGCCCGCGGCCCCCACACCCACAATGACTATCAATCCACGGCTGCGGGTGAAGGGCAAAACCGCGCCGCTGCAGAACGGTTTTTGCAAAACCGTGCCGCAGCGGTACGAAACTGCGCAGATGCAGTCCCTGAGTGGTAAGGACACTATGTGTGTGTGTGTGGCCGTCGACTAGACGGCTGCGC